AGTGTTGATGGAGGCCAGTGTCAGACTGTCCACACGTGTCCCTTTGTTTTGGTCTTCCTGGACTTCAGTGTTTCTTCCCAATGTGCCATCTGGTTCACAGAGAACAGCAGGGCAGAACCCAGCCATCAACAGCCCCAGAGCTACAAAGAGAACCATCTTCGCTGCTCTCCTGTCTGAAAAGAAAGATCTTTTGAGTCTGGGAGGGTCAGGTGATAACCTGAGTATCTCCTTGTTCTTCAACCTTGCCTCTATTGAGTCTTTGTTCTGCTGCCTCTTTCTGCCTCTGTTGTGATGCACAGGAAGTGCTCTGGCCCCTCAGATCACACTACCAGACCTCATGCACCCTGTTTTCCCTGGAGGAAGTGATGCTGTAGTAGCCAGTTTTCCTAATAGAGAATCAGGATCCATAGAGGTGAAGAGATATTTCAGGGTCACAAAGTAAGAAAGAGACAGACCTGGGGATGGGTAAAAGCCTTCTAAAAATCTTAATTTCTTCTTTCCTTTCTATCTTGGTATGAGGACTCTTTAAAAATCAGGGAATACTCTTAATTTGCACTTGTGCCCCATCTGCCATCACCAAATTCTAGTCCAGACTCAGTGAAGGAACCTTGAATTAGATCAGCATCAAATGGGCCATTCCAACTCCAGATGACAAGTTCATGACATCTCACAGCCCTGGGGTGCATCTGGTTCCTGTTTCTGGACATGAGATGGGCTAATTGAAAGAGGAAGATTCTTTCAGCTCTGCCAGGATACACAGGGTTTTTTATCACAGGCTTGGAAGGCTTCCTGACAGGAAGAAAACTGAATGGTGTCCCAGTCTCTCATGCCCAGATCAGATTTCATTTTGGTTGTCAGGATGGCTGTGAGGTGGCAGAAAGCAAATGGGTGGCCCTCTCAGGGCAGCCCGGTGAGTGGCCTAGGTTGTGTTATTAGTGAATGTGTCTGGCTTATTATGGGAATGTGTGGGTGTTTATGGGCAATGTTCAGAGAACCATCTCCTCCATACACACCTGGAGTGGGGATCACAAGCATGCTAGAGACCACATTTGAAAGCTTGAGGTCGTGGTAAACATGGAAGCCAAACTTCAGCCTCTGTCCACTGAATAGGTGAGTTTAGAAGTGAATATAGATGCTAGAGGGAAGGGATGATGGGGAAGAGGGATAGAGAGGAGAGAGGACCAGGTGGGGAAGGATGAGGAGTGAGAAAGTGGAGGGAAGTGAGGGCAAGAGGATAGGAGGAGGGAGGCGATCAGATGAGGGAGTCAAGGGGAAGACAGAGGGAAGAGAAGACTAGACGAGTGGAGGAGGAGAATGGAGGGAGCAGGGGAGGGAGGTGTTGAAGCTGATCCACATGTGCCCAGGCCTGTGACATGCCTGCAGAGTGCCATGGATTTCAGCTGCCTTTACCCTGTGTTTGCTGTCAGACCGATGCATCTATTTCTTTGTAAAGCATTCAGCTATATTCTACTGCAAAATCATTTCCCCAGAAAACTGGCTAGTCACTTTGTACAGGGGAAATTTGCCTGAGTGGCTCAGAGGTTGTCTTCTATTCCTAGCTATGAGAGGGTGGAGCCATGGAATCTGTTGGGGAACTGGGATCTCTGACCCCAAGTCTGCTGCCCCAGAGGGACTCTGCAATAACTGTCCTGTCTCCCCTTAGCTATGACAGCAGCACCCAAACTAGACAAGGTCTCGATGCTTCCTCCTTGTGCAGGGTCAGAAGGAGCAGGCTCCATTTACTCTCCAGGAGCATAGCCCAAGGCACCCACATCTGCCACAGATATGAAGACCCTGACTGGAAATAAGGTTCATTTGCACCCCAGACATGTACTCTGACTCCAACCCAGTACTACAGGAACAATTCCTCACCAACTCCCAAAACAAGAACCCAGGTAATTGCCAATTTACCACAGTCCTGGAAAGGCTCCTTCCACTGTCCCCAGAGAGAAGGAATCCTGAGCATTACCTGGAGAGCTGAAGCCAGCTGCCACCATCTGTGTTAGGTGAGTCCTAATGTTTGGGGTTGCTGTTCTCCTGGGATGCTGCTCTCCCACTGCACACTGATGCCTATTTATCCACACCGGCACCATCTCCCACCTCTTAGGAAATGCTGGCACGTACAAGGTGTGCTCTGTAAACAGACTAGAAGTGGGCAGACAGGATGATTTCTGGTAACATGAATTTAGAAATTCTATCTAGCAGAAACACCTCTCACTGTGGTCCAATCAATAAGTTGACTGCACTAGATTTCAAGGTTGCAGCTTCTGTTTCTCCAATGGTTCAAAGTTCAGTGTGGAACTGGGGAGTAGTTGGAGGCAAATAGACAAACCCCGTCCACATGTTTGTAACCATCCTTTCAGGCTGCAATGAACCTATTCTAAATAGAGACTCACTCTCCCCTCTTTGGATATCAGACTTCTGAAGGGAAACTGCCTTGTCTGGCAGTGAAGGAAAACTCCTAAAGGAATCTGTGTCTGCAGAGCCTGGCAGTCTGATTTGAATTTCTGTACTGTAGAGAGATAAAAGCATTGCAAGGTCAGAGGCTAATGACCTTCTCATGGGCTAAGTGTTGCCTCTCTGGAACAGCCTGTTTCCTCCCTCTGTGTCAGAACTAACCCTTGTGACAATAGAGTCTATTCACTTAGCAGACAACCAGCTTCAATCCAAAAGCTAAGAATGCCAGCAAATAACATCTTGAGGCTGTAGAGAAGCTTCCTTATCCTGATATACCTGCCTCTAATGTTCCCACCCCGGCAATTTAAACTTGCCTTGAATTGTGACTTTCTTTGTTTTGTTAAGCTATCAAGTTTTCATGAAACTGCATCCTACTGGAACACAGAATTTGACTAATGTAAATCTGGGTTCTCAGCTCATTGTCACTCAAAACGGCTACAAAATAAAGTATTTCTTAGTCTCTTTAGGATGAAAGCTGTGGTTTTTGAGTCAACAGTGGTGTTAGAGACTCAGCACACAGGTGTTAGGTTCAAAGCTACTTTCCCCAAAATGGAAGCACTGATCTTAACAAGAAGGGTTTGACTGAGTAAACAGAAGCCTAAATGTAGATCTCTGTGTACCAGAGAAGCCGATCATCTATGGCAAATTCATGCTTAGCAGGAGCCATCCTAACCTTCCCATAAACATCTGCTACCTCAGCAAGGGCATCTAGTTGCCCTTCAATCCAGACAGACTGAATCAGCTCAAAGACTTGATAATGTGATCCCCAGAAAATTTTTCTTTCTACTCCCAAGTTGTCTAGTTGGATGATCTTCACTGCTTCCTGGCTTACATTTGGTGCTGAAACCAGGTAGAAAACACTGGGCACCTTTCAAAGGGCTCAATTCACCCTAACTGAACTGAAGTATTGCTTTTTATTACCCCTCAGTGAGGATCACTTGCTTCTGCTGGCTCTTCATCTCCCATCATTTTCTACTCCAAATTTTAGAGCCTGCTTTTCCAGCCATTTCTCTCTTCTACTGTGCAGGCTGTATTTCTGCCAACTTGACACAAACTCATCCTCTGAGAGGAGGGAATCTCAATTGAGAAAATACCTCCAAGAGTTGGGGCCTGTGGCACAGCCTGTAGAGCATTTCTTAATTGGTGATCAATGGGGCGGCCCCAGCCCCTTGTCAGTGGTTCCATCCCCAAGCTGGTGGTCCTGGGTTCTGTAGAAAGCAGGCTGAGCAAGTCATGGGGAGCAAGCCGGTAAGTAGCGCCCCTCCATGGCCTCTGCATCAGCTCCTGCCTCCAGGTCCCTGCCCTGTTTGATTTCCTGTCCTGACTTTCTTCAATGATGAACAGTGATATGAAAGTGTAAGCCAAATCAACCCCTTCCTCCCCAGCTTTGTTTTTGGTCATGGTGTTCCATCACAGCAATAGAAACCTTATCTAATATATCCACCTTCTCTGCCCACTTGTCTGTCTACTATTACTTGTTTAAGAGTCATTTTGGAGCTGCCTCATCTGTGTGTGTGTGTGTGCGTGCGTGCGTGCGTGCGTGCGTGCGTGTGTGTGTGTGTGTGTGTGTGTGTGTGTGTCTTTGATTGCATCACTTCAGTCTGATGTTTCTCTGTTTCTACTACCTGAACCTGTTCAACAAATGTCCTGCTGGTGTATCAGGCAGCTCCCCTATATACCCCTGGGCACCCCATCCTCTGGAAAGGGACATCTGTCCACTGCGATGCAGAGCATCTTTCTGAGGAGTCTCTTTCTCTTTGAGGACACCCTTAGACTGAGACTCTGTCCCTACATCACTCACTGCATCCCTCCCTGTGCCTCTGTTCCTGTGCTATTGGAATCCTCCTCCTGGTGGGATTCCTCTGCCCTCTTCTCTAAGTCTCTCCCACTTCCTCCTCTCTCTAAAGATCTCTATTGCCATCTTTCCAAGGTTTTCTTTCATCTCCCTTGCTCTCTGTCACTTATTCACTCACTTGCCAATCATGGGCTCTTCCCATTCCAAACTGGACTCTTCAACTCAGCTTGCCTGCCTAAGTCGCTTTCCCATCTCAGACTTAAAGATCTCATTAAGTCCCACCACCTTATTTTTTACTGTAATACAGCTTTACTGCAATATAAGTTTGACAAACATTCTCAGTGTTCAGTAAATGACATATTTGATGGAGATCAGACTCTCACTGATCTCAACAAATTCTGCCAATGCAATGGGCAAGTTGTCTGAGACCCCTATGTTCAGACTTTCTTTAGCCTCAACTCTTGTCCCTCCCTCTGTACCTTTTGCCTACTTGCCAGATTTTTCTGGCAAATGCCAAACCTCCTCCTAACACTGATCAGAACCCTGAGTCCTTGGATTCCTCTTTTTTCAACTTTGATATAGATGATGTGGCCCCTCCATGGACACCTACTTAACCTAACCCTAGATAGGTGACACTCTAATCTTGTCCATCAGCACTCTCTCACTTGCTCCACCTTCTTATCCATGCTCTACCTCACCCTCTCTTCCCTCATCACCTCTGACATAAGATTGTTCACTGGTTCATGGGCTGTTACCAATAGATTGGCTGAATGATCAGGGTCTTGAAAGGGCATAATTGGAAAATTGGTGAGAAAGACATCTGGGGAAGAAATTATGTTGATAGATCTCTCCAAAGGGGTGAAGTATGTGAAGATACTTATGTCCCATATAAACACTCATCAAAAGCTGATTTCAGCTGAGGAGGTCAATAATCAAGTAGATAGGATGACCCATTCTGTTGACAGTTGGCTTCTTTCCCCAGCCACCCCTGTCATTTCCCAGTGGATTCATGAACAAAGTGGTTGTGGTGGCAGAGACAAAGGTATTCATGGGCTCATCGAGGCTGGTCTGTCTACATCTGCTGCCAAGTGCCAGATCTGCCAGCAGCAGAGAGACCAACACTGAGCCCCAGACATGACACCATTTCCTCAAGTGACAAATCAGCACTCTGGAGGCAGGTTGACTACATTGGACAACTTCCTCCATTGAAAAGACAATTCTTTGTTCTTACTTGAGTAGTAGATATTTATTCTGATGTATGTATCTTTCTACATGATATGCTTCTGCCAAAACCATCACCTGTGAATATACAGAATGCTTTATCCATAGTCATGGTATTCCACACAGTATCACTTCTGATTAAGGCACTCACTTCACAGCCATCAAAGTACAATAGTGGGCCCATGATCGCAGAATTCACTGCTATTACCACGTTTCCTCCCATCCTGAAGCAGATAGCCTGATAGAATTAAGGAATGACCTTTTGGAGACACAGTTACAGTGCCAATTGGGTAGCAGCAGCTTGGAGGGCTGGGGTAGGATTCCTCAGAAGGAGTATATGCTTTGAATCAGCATCCAATATATTGTATAGTTTCTCCCATAGCAAGGATACACAGGTCTCAGTATTGAGGTGTAAAAAAACGGAACAGGCCCTCTCAATATTACCCATAGCGACCCACTAGGAAAGTTTTGCTTCCTGTTCCTGTGACCTTAAGCTCTGCTGAACTTGAAGTTTTGGTTCCAGAGCAGGGAAAACTTCTGCCAGAAGACACAACAAACATTCCATTGAACTGTTCTCCCTGGCCACTTAGGCCCTCTGATGCTCCTAAGTAAACAGGCAATGAAAGGAATGACAGTGTTAGGAGGGATGATTGATCCAGATTTCCAAGGGGAAATTGCATTGCTTCTCTACAATAGTGGTAAGGAAGATTATGTCTGGTGTGCAGGAGATTCTTCAGGGCATCTCTTGGTGCTGCTATGTCCTGTGATTAGTCAATGGAAAACTACAACAGCCCAATCCAAGAAGGATAACCAAGGGCACAGACTCTTCAGGAATGAAGGTGTGGGTCCAGGAAAAGAGCTGAGACCTGCTGAGAGTGGAGGGAATACAGAATGGGTAATAAAGGAAGGTAGTTACAAATACCAAATAAGGCCAGGTGACCAGTTGCAGAAATGAGGATTATAATTGACATGAGTGTTTCTATCGTTTTGTTGTTGTTAAGAATGTGTTTGTACAGATTTTTGTATTTTCTTTCTTCAATTTCCTTACCATGTAATGTAACATCAATTAAGAGAATATCAGTGGCTAACATATTTAAGTTTAAGATACTAAAAGAATGTCCTTCAAGCTCCATTGCCATCTATTCTATAATTAATACTGTGTTTGTGGTTACATAAGGGATAGTTATATCATGTTAGGCGTAATTGTGACCTGGTTATATATGTAATGGGTCTATAATTGTACATAATATAGTTATTCCATGTTAAGGATATGATCTGGTGATATTTTCATTTAGAAATTAAGCATGTCTTTTTTGTGAAAAAAAAGAAAGCTATTTATTTATTTATGTATTAAGCATGTCTTAAGGAGATGTGATTGTGTGTTAAGTTGGCAAGGGATGGACTTGGGATGGCTATTTTTGATTGTCAATTTGACTACTTCTAGAATTAACTAAAACTGAAGCAACTGGGTACATCTGTGAGGTATTTTTCTTAATTCAATAATTTGAAGTGGGAAAATCCACTTTAAATCCAGATCTTTTAGGGTGGAAAAATCCACCTTTAATCTGGGACACAGATTCTGCTGGCAACCTATATAAAGGACAAGGAGTTCTCATTCTTGCTGACAAATCCATTCCTTCACTGGGATTAGAGTATAATTCTTTAGGGTCTGCCATATACTGGAACCAGCTGAGACATTCAGCTCAAGGACTGAACAATTACAAGATTCTTGGACCTTCCATTGGTAGACAGCCATTTTGGAGTACCTGGACCACACAGCCTGTAAGCTATTCTAATGAATCCCCTTTCTCTATATATAGATTCATCCTGTAACTTTTGTTCCTCTAGAGAATCCTAACACATGAAACCTAATGGTCCATTCACTTAGTACATTCTGTGATGAATGGGTATTTACGGGGACTAAGTCATTGCCCAAGATAATTTAGTTCTATAAGACAATGTTCTAGTCTGCACAGTCTTGAGGTTTTCATCAATGAACCAAGTAGACTCTTCACTGCAGTGGTGACTTTCTCAGTGAGAGCATCAATTTTCACTTTCATCTTATGGATAGAATGGGGGCAACAAACAGGGAGGGAGACACAGGCTTGAATTATGAAATGATAGATGCACCTTTCCCTCCTACCCACTGGTTTTTGTTCAGTTTTGCTTTAGGAAAGAGAATCTTGCTACGTAGTAAAGGGTTATGTTTTGAGTGTGAAATGATCCCCCAAGGTTCAGGGGTTGGAATTCTTGTCCCATTGGCGACACTGCTTT